TTTGTATCTCGATACTTTGTGCGTACACGCGACACACCTCGTTGAATGGGACTTTGTAGCTTGCTGGCTAGCCGCACAAAGGTTTTTCACCGCCCAATGACTGAGTGTCCACAGCTGACCTCACGGTGCCCCTCTGATACAGGTATAAATGTCTATGCACCTGTAGGCGCAAACATAAAAACGTCGCGGAGTTTACTGGTGGGTGAGGAGGCGTTACCTGCCGAGACGCGGTCACATGAGACGCGCGCTGAACGCGTCGCCGAGCCTGCGCGAAGACGCGAGAGGCTGGCGCTGAGCAGTACGGGTCACGCACGAATGAGCCACCAGATGGATAACCGAAACCAGAAGCACGGATCCAGGAGAGAACCTCCAGCGCGCAGCGCCGTATGTTGAAGCTTGAAAGAGGGAGGTGGGCCAGGAAAGCAAGAATAGTTACCATTTGAGCGCAGAGCAGCGCGGTCGAGAGGAGGTCGAGGTCGCGAAGAGAAAAAGCTCGACGTCATGGCATAAAATGTGAGTACTATGGTTTGCACATGATGCAGAAGATAAGTTACAAGATAGCAAGAAAACAAGAAAGCGGGATATACATAGCGACAATAGCGAGATGTTAGCCAAGGCGATGGCGAGTTGGCAATAAGCAATGCCTGTGCTAGGCTCCCTGCCCTGTGAAGAGGCACATCCAACCTAGCAATTTTACCCAAGCGGCACGGACGAACGACTCGAACGACCAAGAGGCCGTCTCAGCAACGTGGGCGTGGGCGGCACCCGGCCCGGCGGCGAGGTCCTGTAGCTCATGGCCTTCGGCTTCGTGCCCAGGAACCACGTGGCCGCCTCCCGCCTGCGGTGTAGTAGGATGCGTGTGGCGCGTTCGAGAAAGCGCAGGGCCCAATCTTCTCAGGTCGCGCGTTAGATCTACGAGACGATGAGCGAAGAGGACTTAAAAGGTAATGTATTACATACGAAGGGACTCCGGATCCGGGTAGGTAGAGATCGGTAGAGCTGGCAGTGTTGTCGGTCGCGGTGTCGGCAGATCGATCAAGAGCCCGATCGAAGGCGGTCCAGGCTGCCCAGACGGCTCAGGCACGTCCTCGGTGCCAACAGACGGCGGCGATTGTAGAGGCGCGGCATTTGCTGGTGCCGGGATAGGAATATTCGCCATGGCGATTGACGTTCTTGGACGGTGCGGTCAATGCAAGAGTCTAAAGTGACCGAGACTTGTAAGGCGCGCGGAAGCATTAAAGATTATGGAGGGCGTACCTGCAATTCACAGTTCTGACGGTAAATGGTGAGTGGGAGGTGTTGTTGAGGGTGTACGAGGCCGCGTGATGGACAAGGCGCCTATGCGTGCGTCGTGAGCGTGTTGAAGCTGTGCTTCTAGAACAAACCGAAAAGGGAACCGCAGATCCAGCGCTGCAAGTCCCTTCCTTCTCCTCTCATCGCACCCTAGTCCTCATGCCGCACCATCCAAATGTCCCTTCGAGTATCCCGCAATGTGGAGAGTGTCGAGGTCGATGGATGATTGGAGTGGGGAGCGCTGTCGCGGCGGGCGCGAGAAGTCCGGTGGGCCGCGTGAAGCACAGGCGCACGCTGGACGCAAATGCCCAAGCGTACGCGAGTTGCGTCATGCGGCGGGTCCGCTGGGGGACAGTGTGGTCGGGTTGGAGGTGGAGGTGGAGGTGGAGGTGGAGGTGGAGGCGAGGGCGGAGGCGGAGGCCATGGCGGCGGGAGGCAGAGAGGCGAGTGGCGAAAGCGCGCGAAACGACAAGTCGCGTGAACGCACGCTCCCGCGCAAACCGCCCGCGCCTTCACCTTGCCTCCCACCGCCATGGTCTTCGAAGACCTCATTCGTTTCGTCACTGTCCCCAGTGACACTGTACTCTGGTACCGACTTCGCTACCCACGGACATTTGCGTCCCGGGCATGCGATTGTCCAAGCCAGAGGACTTCACATCCATCAACAACTCACTTGCGCCCCAGCGCGCCCGCACCGGCGTGTG